TGGTGATTTCCATGTATAGAGTCGCCTCTTGTGTTGTTGGAAAAGAATGTTTGTGATGACCAGCTTGTTCTCTTGACAAAACTCTATTAGCCTTTGCCCTGATTCGTTCTGAACTCCAACGCCAAACTTCCCTGTTGTTCCCTTTATCTCTTGGCTCCCTACTTTAGCATTCCAGTCCCCTAGAATAAGAACATCTTTCTTTGGTGTCAGTTCTAGAAGGTGTTGTAAATCTTCATAAAATTGTTCAGTTTCAGTCTCCTCAGCAATGGTGGTTGGTGCATAAACTTGGATTATTGTGATGTTGAAAGGTCTGCCTTGGATTCTTATTGACATCATTCTATCATTCTGTCATAACACAATACAAATGCTACCATTCGGACAGAAGCAATATGTAGGGACAGACTCCAGGTTTGTAATTTCCTTGAAGAACAGAACTCCTTTTATTTATTATCTGTATATTTGTTTTCTCTCTGCACTGTATTTATTTGTTAGTAGCCTGACCTGGTTCGCTTATTTCGAAACACATCCATCTTTTACCAACTTTGCAATATTCCTAATTTAAGTTTTGCTTCTCCCCTCCCCGCCCCCAACGCACAAACAATTTATGTGAAAGTGTGAACACAAATTCAGGCTTGCCTATAAAGCAGGCTACTCTCCATTAAAGTGGCAAAGACGGGTTTTTAGCAACAGTTATTTGCAATCATTATCCCATGTAAAGAAAGTAAGATTCTTCTCCCCCCCACCCACCATGTTAAGTCTCACTGTGAAACATTAAGATGCAGGTTCAGCCCATGTACACCAGAAACTATTTACAGAACACCTATCAAGAACATGCTTTATTTTCCTTCACAAGGCATTCTTTCATGGAAGAGAAATATCTTCAACGCCCTTAAGCTACTGGTTACTTGATTGTGTTTCTAATGTTGGAGAATGCACCAGCTGATTTGCATTTTAAAAAGAAGTCTTTCAGGATCTTTCAGGCTCACAATGGATGTCTAAACCGTTAAATTACTATTTCTTTTATTGGCTTGAAAGACACTGCAGTTTAAGAGCATGACCCCCCCCCCCGCATGATTGTTCTTTACACTAAGTTGGGTCTCTGAACAATACTGACAGCTGCTATCAAACTGGGCTGCGTTTACTTTCAGTGCAGCTGCTGCTTGTAGGAACAGACAAGCTCCTGATGCCTCCTCCCCTCTGGGGAGACAGGCTGACACAGTGCATGTTCAATGAAGAGGAGCAAAGGTCCACTGAATTGTCAGCCCAATTTTATGCTACTCCAATTTTCCAGCCTGCACTTACAATCCCTTTCAAACAAATCAAGCATATGTCAGAGCATGAAACTTATTGTGCAGCGCAGGATAATTATTGATGTATACAAATGTGCAAAAGGGAGAGATGATCTCTTATTGGACCAACTTGGTGGAAATGTTCAAGTGAGAGAGAGAAGGAGGAGAGGAAGGGAGAGAAGAAAGGAAAGCAAACAGTCATAAGGAGTGAGGTTTGTTGCACCGAACGCAAATGTTCTTCAGGCTATAATAGAATTGTCAGATCAGCTGTATAAGAAGCTCAGATGGGTGAAAAAGCTGGACTGCGGTAGTCATGACTAGACAGGAATGCATGTAGGATTTATGAACACCCAGTGGAAACTGAAGTATATTTCTACTGGCAGCAACACATCAGTACCTCAAATCCTAGAAAGCAGCAATCCATGCCCTAGAAGGCAATGGCACATACTTCTAAGCAAACATGCAGAGAAGGTTTCATGGAGCAGCAAGCAAAACTGTACTTTTATGGAACAATGCTTTCAGATTGGACCAAAATGAAATTAGGGCATGCAACTAATGAATAGTAGTCTGATTCTGGCAGAGAAAACACACGATTACAGTGAGGAAACCTGAGAGACACACTGCCATGTGCATGTGCTCAATTGTATGGAGACTGCCAAAGAATGAGCCAGAGTATTGTTATCTTTGGTTAGACTGGCACACTCCTAAGGATGAGAGGTCGAAGCTTCTTCCCAGTTCCAGTGTCAAGATTTTTAAAGTACTGTTTAAAAGCTATTTCTAATGTTTCGTGTCTGTTGAAAAGGCTCCGTTGGTGGTTACCTGATATCTCTTTAAAATATTTTCATAATCAGACCTTTTTTTAAAGACTAGGTGGACTTTTGAGATGAACTTTTCAGTTTAGAAATTATCAGATAAGAGAGGGTCGACAAGACAGCAGACAAATAGAGACTTAATTACTATTTTTTTAAGTAGTTGATTGGATGGAAGCAGGGAGACAAACAAGGATCTGGTTTGAAAAGAGGGTATGTTTATGCAAAGCTAATCTGTCAAGTGTAATAAAGCAGCTTGAATAAAATTTAAGCTGAAAATCCACTGACACTCCCAATTGCAGGGAGGGATAGCTATTAAAAGGAAATGAAGGTCACCCTCCCAGTTTATTTCACCTAATTGACTGCCAATAGCTTACCACAGGCAAAGCTACAGCAGATCTACAATTCAGAAACTGATAAAAGGAGAGTTTTCAAGCTGAGGCTCATTCTTCTAATCCTCCCTAGCTCTTACAGTTTTTTTTCCCCCATCTCCAGTTGGGATGTAATTTTAAGCACAGATGGATTAACTGGTCCCATTGTCTGTAGACGTCATTGGACTATGGCACTGTTAATCCATACAGCAGCATGTCTAATTATCATTACAAAGTGTCTGAGGGAACTATAAAGACCAGCAGGGCATCTTCTCACAAGCAATTAACATAAATTGATAAATGAATAATTTGAATCTGCTCAAGGCACTTGCATATGAATAAAATCAGAAGGAGAACCACTGCTTATTTCAGCTCCTTTTGCTCTCTGAGAAAGGAAAAGAAACATGAATGGTGGTAACAGGACTTTGGAACTGGACTTACACAGAACATGTGGCTCATTAAGTTTAATATTGTTAGACAAGTTACTCCAATTCACTGCAATTGGCAATCACTCACAACCACACGCTTTGGCACTATTTTGTACCTCAATGCAGCACATGACGTGAAAAAAACTGCTGGTGATTCCAGCATCTGGCTTTGGAGCAAGAGATTGGGAGTTTGATTCCCCACTGTGCTTCCTTGAGAGGGGCTGGACATGATGATCCATACTGTAGGGCCCGTTCCAGCTCTGCAGTTTTAAGATTATTATTATAATATACTGCAGCAGGTCAGCCCAAGGAAAATTGCACTTTCTTTCCTCTCCTCTTTCCCACAGGAAGAGACATTCAGAAACATTCACTTCTGCTTCCACACAGCTTGTTGTGTGATCCAAAACTGCGGTTAGCTGAAACATACCGGCTTCAGCACTCACAATTTGAAATTAATCATTGTAAATCGGTTTATTAGTCAAGATGACATCATCTGTGGTTTGGTAGAAAGGAGAGAGAAAAAAAACCACCTCCCTCCTACTTTGGAAAAGCAAGCAAACATCTTTAGTTGCTTCAGAGACTAGAGGTGTGCCAACAGGGGGAGAGTGTGGAAGGCGGAACCATCAGAAGATTCAGATGCCATAAAAATAATCTGTTAATCCTAGAGATTGTATTTCATCTCTGGCAACCTTTACTCTTGCAACCTCCTAACTGCCAAACCCCGAGCTATGAAACAGAGCAACACAACACATCTTAAAAATATATACAGTTATGGTTATGAGACACAAGCCTAAGTAAGCAGCATTGCCTTACAAATGGCACTTCCAGTAATTCTACTAATTTGAAAATCATGCAGGTGCCAAGACAAATGAAGCTTAGAGCTAGCATTATCAAAGCAGTTGCTATATATCAAAATTGAACGCATCAAAAGTACCAAAGCAATAAGAAAGGAAAGCTGGTTATACACACGGTAGGAGGTAGACCTGGAAGGCCACGTACCCCGATGATGGCATTCAGCTCAGCCATGGTCACCTGTTTGGCACGTTCAACGGCTTGAGCCACTTGCTGTTGATGCTGGAAAGACAAACATGTCATTTCCATTACTAGAACAACTATTAATTGAATTACATAATAGAGAAAATGCTGTTTTATTAGAGGCAGCTATGTTTCTGTGTGGAAAAATGGAAACGATGTGACTTGCCTTTTAACAAGTCCTCAGATTTTTAGCAAAATTACAAGTGAAGCCATTGACTTCCGAATAGGTGTGTCCATGCATGTATAGGGGTGCAAGTACATATACCCAGTGTTCATTTTAGAAAAATCAGTAAATCAAGAACTTCAATATAGAGGCCAAATGTGTACATCACAGTGAATGAGAAAACTGGAAAAGAGATCTACACTGTACAGTGTTGCCTCGCTTAACGATTACCTCGTTAAACGATGAATCCACTTTACGATGAGGTTTTTGTGATCGCAATAGTGATCGCAAAACGATGTTTAGATAGGGAAATTTCGCTTGATGATGATCGGTTCCCTGCGTCGGGAACCGATTTTTCACTAGACGATGATTTTAAAACAGCTGATTGGCGGCCCTAAAATAGCCACCTGCTGTGCAAAATGGCTCCCTGCTGTGCTTTAGGACAGATTCCTCGCTTTACAGGCAGCTAAAATGGCCGCCCCTATGGAGGATCTTCGCTGGACACTGAGGTATTTACCCCATTGGAACACATTGAACCAGTTTTCAGTGCATTTCAATGGGCTTTTTTGTTTTGCTTGACAAGGATTTCGCTTAACAGCGATTTCAACTGAATGAATTATCCTCGTCAAGCGAGGCACCACTGTACCACACTCACTTGCAGTGAGCTATAGTTTGTTTATGATGTTGTACAAACTTGGGAGTTTATGTTCCAGCTTTGTTTTCTCTCAAAAAAGACAGAGAAATAATCCAAAGTGTGTCTTTGGGCTGCACCTCCAGCTGGAATTTTAGGGCTGACTTAGCTAAGCTTTCCGAGACATTACAACTGGAATCACATACACAGTCATGTAGTTTCAGAAATAACAAGGTCTCATTCTATAAGCTGTTGTTACAGACAAAGAAGTGTAGAAGAAGAACAACAATTAAGGTGATAGATCAATGGCACAGTGCCATGACACTGTACTGCAGTTTAAAAACTAACCAAAGTCCTTGTTTAAACACAACAGTACAGGTCACAGCTACTACATTCCTATTCAGATATAAAAATAGAATACTGTTTGGTTATTCTAGCCTTTGTAATGTTAAAGTATGTCAACTGTTACAGTTCTACAGTCAATGCAGAGGGAAAGAAAATGAAATAGCAATTGAACAAGAATTGCCAGAACTTGGTTCTCGTTCTTGCATTCCCCAACACAGTTGTGCATCGATACAATACTAGGATGCCAAGTTATTTAAAAAAATAGACCTTTCCAGGAACTACATTTTACAAATGCCACTCAAAAACTTTTAGTCACCATTAAATGCCAAGATTTTATTTACACAGAATTTAACAAATCGCTAGACTAGCAGCTGCCAAGCTAACATTGGCATTAAAAAAATCTTGATAATCTCTATAAATCTGCCGCCCCCTGTGTTGCAAAGAATAATTTTGTGGTTCAGCTATTTTGCCAGTTGTACAGTTGGTGTATCTCATCTCATCTGCTAGACCAAATTAACAGGGGGCTTGTGTACTTTAGCTATAACAGATGTTCCTCACTCATGTGAATTTTTATAAAATTAACATCTTAAAAATTAGCTAATTTACAAATAGAGATGCAACATAACTTCATTTTAACAGCTGAACATTCGTACTTACTTCTTGAGACAAAAATGGGATGACTTGTGCACAGATTGTATTCAATCTCTTGGCAATTTCTGTCTATAGAAGAAAAGTAAATATTTGGATTAAAACATGCCTTTTTTATTATTTGATTTATAAGATCATGTGAAGTAAAAATGTTATGAAAAATTACAGCAACTCAACTTTACATATAATGTTTAGAATTTTACATGGCTAACCAGAGCAGAGTTCTTTCTACTGAAAGACATCTGTTATGTTTCTGGTATCTCATCTTTACATTTATTGGAGCACAAATCTATTTTTCCTTAAGTAGCTCATTAGCACTAGTTAAAATTTAGCACGAGCCAAAGGCTTTTAGATTGATAAATCTACTGTTTTTTCAAGTTATTAGGTCACAATATGAAACCATTTTTCACACAAGCTATTGTTCAGGAGTACACTGCAAAAGTGAATTGAGGACCAGCTATCTGAGCAAATTAAAAGCTTAGCAAAATTAATGAAAGAAAAAAGAATACATTTTCATAGGAAACATTCAGTGTTTTTTTGTTCCCACTATTTCTGATCAAGGACAACTACAGGGTAGGGCTAAGTCTCTGGTAAACTCTTATCCACAGAACAAGACTACATTATTCTTATCTCAGGTAAACTGCCATCATAGTCTGGAAGACTTTAAATCAGATTTGTCTCAACTTGAAAATAATCTTTCAAATCAGGTTAAATACTATGACTGCACAGTACCCAGAACTGCTTTTTTGACCTGTCTAAGGTAAGTTTATAATCCAAGCACTATTCCACTCAGTTGTTTCATGTGTTTTAAGTCAGGTTTAAGGAAGCAAGACAGAGCTGCCTTAAATGGATAAGGATAATAAACCTAGATTAAAAATGAACCAGTACTCAAACTCAATCAAATCTTCATTATCTAATGCAGTGGTTCTTAACCTTTGTTACTCGGATGCTTCTGAACTGCAACTCCCAGAAACCCCAGTCAGCACAGCTGTGTGTAAGCTTCTGGGAGTTGCAGTCCAAAACTCCTGAGTAACTCAGGGTTAAGAACCAGTGATCTAATACATATGGCATGAAACCTTTTAAAGCTGGCACTTTTTTTGAACAAAGAGATCAAGAGACATGTAGACCAGAATCCTGTTGCTTTTTACTGTGAGTGGAAGAGAAATTACTGAGATCAACACAGCTGATTGACAATGCAACAGTTGCATGTTTATTGCAAGATGGTCATGGCTTTTACAATTTCACAATTGTAAAAGTTGTGCAGGCTTCTACAATTTTATTTCTGCACATGGTAAAAAAAAAACCAATAGACTTCTACCTGTTGTGGTGATGAGTCAGTCAAGTTTGCAGATTACCGCCAACAAACAGGCTACCAAACAACTTTTCATAGTAACCATCAAAAAGTGATCTATATGACCCTCATCATTAAGTAGTCATATGCTTATTACAAATTAATTCGAAGTATATGCTCTCAGAGTTTTCCAGCTCTGAAGAAAGTCTACCTTAGCACTACTTGCTACTGTATATTTCCAACTAAAGACAAAACTATTGAGCATTAGATTAAACTCTGGGTTACCATGGCATACTATGCTTTGAGAATATAGGTATCTTTCTCACAGCGAAACATTTTCTCCATCACCTCTTCTGCTACAATTTTTATTATTTATTTCTTTGTCCTGTGGATCTCCTGCCCTTTGTGCACAGTTTTTAGACCTGCTAAGAACCCTCTTTGCACAAATGTAACTCTTATATGTCATGTTCAGAGTGGCAGGGTTGTATTCTGCCAGCTTTTATCTCCTTCTACAGGAAACGGTGGAGGAAAAATCAAATGAGCAATGGCCAAGCTCAATGCCAAAATGTTCTGGTGGAGTGGGAAAAATGAATCAGCTTTGTGTTTTCTAAATGCTGCATTCCATTCTGGGGGATGCACAGATGCCAGTTAAAGGACCAATAATATCCTTGCTTCCTTGGTGTGCGAACAATCTTGAGGAAAATGATACAAGGAATATTGTCATTCCACAGGCCACACTCCACTTTTCTTTGCTCACTCTGATCTCTGGGAGGAGCTGAGAAAGCATAGTTCTCAGGGATCCTGTGTGAAGCGGAGGCTGCAGGCAGGAAATATAGGCTGAATATGGCCAACAAGACAGGGTATCCAATCCAGAAATGCTCCTGCCTCCAAGTGGAAAACATGGCTCTGCATGGCATTTGATTGGGTTATACCACTAACTTATCTTTCACAGCATGCAGTGGCACCTTGACTTACAAACTTAATCTGTCCCAGAAGATGTTCGTAAGTCAAAAAGTTCATAAGTCAAAGCATCATTTCCCATAGGAATGCACTGAAACCCAATTAATCCGTTCTGGCTGTTTTTTGTTCTTATGTAAAGGTACAGTTTGTAAGTGAAAGCATTCGTTCCCATAAGAACTAATGCAAAACCAGTTAATCTGTCCTCTACCACTAGGGGGAGAATTTTTCTTCTTTTAACCTAAGATGAACTTAGGTTTAAAAAAGGGCAGGCAAGGAGGGAGGGAACAAACACCTTTTAAACAGAACACCTTTAAAACCAAGCAGATTTAAACCAAACCAAGCACCTTGTAAACCATTGTTTACATTTTAAAATTACAGTACCAGGCAGTACCAGGAAGTCCAAAGTCCATTTCCCGATTTTCCCGTTTTTGCTCCATTCGCAAATCAAAGCAAAATTTTGTGAATGGGGCTGTTCATAACTCAAAATGGTCTTAGGTCGAGGCATTCGTAAGTCAAGGCATCACTGCGTCTGTAATGCCATTAACATAGCCCAATTTCCCCCCCCCATCATTATAGCATCTACAATATTTGCAATTTGCAATTTTAGTCAACAACATTCAAGCATGTTATTTTCTAACCACTGTGCCAAGAATTATTCTTTTATATCACTCCTCACTCATAGCTTGGAAATGTTACTACTTTTGACTACAATTCCCAGAGGCTCCCAACCAACAAGTGTTTCTTTTTTCAAATGTTTTACGAAGGCTCAGTTCCTGCAACTCACTCCACTTAAGAGCCAGATAAATTACCCCCAACATTAACTCAATACATGAATTAGGCTACATTTTCTTTCTTTCCTTTTCATAAAACCCAAGGCCATAACTGCTGTGAGATATGCCCAATTTCCTAATGAAAGCTTTAGATGCAGAACAAAGACAATTTAAAAAAAACAAAAACAAAAACAAACTCCATTCCAGAAATCCTCAACAGGCCAAAATTCAAGGTTTAAAACAAAAAGGCAGAGATCCAAAGCGGTCAGCCAATCTAAAAATAAGCCGAAGTTTAAGGATATACTATACCGTATGCTCGCTGCTACATCTCTGAAATGCCTACTGCTGCATCTAAACTTCATGCAATATTCATGGCATTCTGAGCTTTTTGCCAGATTGATAAAGCTTATCGGTTAAGATTTCTGATCCGCAAACACATAGCAGACAGTTAAAACAATGAGGGATAAAAGGGGAAAAAAACCCAACAAGTCCTTGCAGATAGCTGATACATCCACACTAATTGCCCACATGGTCTTCTGTGGCTCACTAGCAAATCAGATTGCAGAGGCCATCCCTCCCAGGAAAGCCCTTGTGTTTGTGTGGCAGCTTTCCGTGGAGCAGGAGGCTCAAGTGCCCTTAATTGTTTATGTCTTTAATGCAAGGCCTCTTGAATGCATTCATTTTTAATAGCAGATTTGAGTGTGGGGCCTATGAAAGGCTGCACAGCAACGCCAGTCATTAGTCCTTACTATGGCAATGATGGCCTTTTGATTTATTTGCAAATGACAAGCTTGCTGGGCCCCAGACTCAAGTGCTGCCCTCCTTTTCCAAGCATCATTAAAATTAACATGAAGGAATTCAGCTGCATTTTGCAAGATCACATTGAGG